TTCTTTTATTTTTTTCTAAACATTTCCGTCCATAGCAGTTTCAATCTCTTCCTCATTTTCACTTTCGGAACTAACTATAAATCTCTTTCTTTTCTGTCCTCTTCGTATATTCAAAACATTCCCTTCGTCCGTATCGCTGTCAAATAAGTCACAATAATTTTCATTTTTCAATTTTTCATTTTCATCGTCAGTATCGTAAACTTTTTGATCATCTTCCGAACAATTCTCGTCGATATTATTTATTTTGTCTAATAAATTGATATTCCTCGAATGTCTTGATATTTTTGGGCATGAATATACAAAAGATAAAGTAAAAACTAAGATATAAATTAAACGGGGCAAAAACATTGAGACCAGAAATAAAAAAACAATTGTAAATCATACCACCATACCAAATCTGTTGAGTTTGTCGAAACTATCACTTATACCACGTAGTAATTTTTATTATAATATAATTATAATTTCTATTATAGACTGAAATTTTGATGCTCTCTGCTCGTATCGCAAAAACGCTATGTTCTTTCTTCCAATAACAACGAAAAAAATTCTAACCGCACATTTGTCTACAATGTAGACATATTGATTAGATTCTAGTCTACAATTACATTGTAGACATTGTAAAACAATTTCAAGAACGCGATTATCGAAGAATATAGTCGTAAATAACATAAATTTTTCAAACGGTCAAATGACCGTTCGTGGCAGACTGGACATGGTACAATTTATTTTCGGAAAATTCACATTAAAAAAAGTTGCAAATAATGAAAAATATTGTAGGAAAAGTCTGTATGTATATGTTAGGAAAAATCAATAAGATACATGATGGTACAGTAACGTTGTATGCAAGAAATTTTAAACGAAATTTTAAAAACGGTCATTTGACCGCGCATGGTAGGTTTAGTGTTAATGTCATTAAAAAGTGATTACATTTACGTGTGTGTATATATAAATGTAGTAATTAATAATAAATTTGTATGTGAATAACGTGGTAGACGGTGATGAAAGTAATATAAGTAACACTTTTAAAATTAGTTAAAAATCATCGCAATATACATCCGTTATTGCATCCGTCCATAGATGCGTATAGCAATACATAGTATGTAATAATAAAATGTCTTTGTTGTTGTTACTTATTTACATTTACTGACAATTAATTTTGGAACTAGTTAAACAAATTGTCTGCCATGCATTCATCTATACAATTGATCAAATATATTATAATAAATGCATTCAAGCACAATGACAACAACGGAAGCAAGTGAGAACGTTTTCAAAAGTCTACACTTTACCTAGTACAGTTATTCGCTCGTCTTAGTTACAACACACCACGAATTATACATTATTTTCGTATAAGCGCATATTTTGCATGAAAGCCTCCGTATTGAACGATGCCCAAAACATTACAAGTCCACCATTAAATTTGGCAAACTTAATTTACTCCCAAAAAACTGTATTATTTTTCAATTTCTGTCATAAAGAACTAGAAAATAGACTTTTTCTTTTTATAAGGGTTTTGCTTTTCATGATAACTTGTATATATATATATATATATGTTGAGCTCTAATAATACACATATGTGATCCACGTTTCCGTTTTAATTTTTTTGTTAAATTGCTACCATTTTCATCATAAAATAGAAAAAATTCAACTACTACTACTATTCATGAGAAGTCTTATGCGGAGCGTGATCCAAGATATAGATCCATATGATTCAAATATGGTCCGCTTAATTTTGAATTCAAACTACTGTCATGAACGAACTTTCATCATTGAATATTCATAATTAAACCTTTTTGGCATATAAGAGCGTACATTTTCTGAAAATTCTTATTTGCGACGGTATCCAAAAAGTAGACCTAGGTAAGGATGAGCCCTTTGTGGATTTACCATTGCAAACCAATTTTCAGCATGAGATATTGAAAAGTTTACTTTCTCTTATAAGAGAGGACTCAAAAAATTTCAAAAAATGCTTAAAACTGCAGTCATTTTAAGAAGTCGTTTTATGAAAAGTGATCAAAAAAGTGGACTGATCTGAACCATTTTCAATCCTTTTATCAAAGCACGTCACCAAAACATTTCAAAAATTGTTACCATTAAGTTGAACACAATTTATATGGGCAGACATAAGAATGACAGACAGACAGGTTTAGATTAAGTCAGCAAATGATTCTGAATCGCTCGATAGATCCCTCTACCTTAAAGCCTTCTGGGTTTTACGTATGTCCCCACAAACTTAATTTACCCTGTACCTACAAGTGGTGTAGGGTACAACAACGGGGGAGATTGGTCGAGTTCGATAGGTTTACACATTCATTCATTTATACTTTATATTATTACGGTGTAAATTATTGCTTAATACAATGGAACATTAAGTACATATAAGATATTTTTTTTATTCATTAAACCAATAAAAAAAATCTGAAAAATTTTGACAAATGATGTTATTTAATATTTACTCGAATCCATGATTTTAAAATTCATGGTCATATTCTACGTGCATGGGTGTAAGCAAAGTTTATGGCATGGAAGTCATGAAAAATCTGCCAGACACTAGTTAAGTATTTTTTAATGCCTTTATTTTTCTTATTTTTTCCCTTTTTTTCTTCTTAGCTCAACTAGAGATAAGACGATTATTTATAAATTCTTTGTACCATTATTTATCGTCACTGCTATAGAGTATATAAGCAGAAAGCATTGCAACGTATAGAGTAGGTAAATTTTAATTCTTTCTGCGCTTGTGGCATCCAAACTTGGTATTCGCCATATACAAAGCTATGTCAAAGCTGTGATTAACTTTAATACGTTTACTACAGTATATAAGCTATCCATAAATTATGTATAAATAGTTTTGGTAGTGGGTCTTAGGATGTCAAAAGTAACAAATCACTGGACGTTTCCTAAGATATACATCGTAGAAAAGGCTAGATAGGTCAGAACATTCACCACAATTTCATGCTTGGACACCTTCGAGAATTGTTGTTACAGTAGTTGCTAACTAAATGCAATAAGAAGAAATGAACTGGCGGCTGATTACGAAAGCACCTGTTTATATTTTGAGTCTTAACTCAACGCTAAGTGTTACTAGATACCATATGATCTTTGCATCGGAAAGCTAAAATTTCGGCTCAAGACTTTCGTCACAACATTTTTTCATTTGAGTGTGGTTTGTGAAAGTTTTCATGCGATGATTTTTTATAATTTCCGATGTGCATTATCAAGATAAAGAATGTACTTACAATTCTGGCAGTGAAGCGCCACCGCTCGCTATTAAGAAATGTAGGTATAACGAGTTAATTCGTTGCCGCGGTTCAGCCACCTGCGATAGTTATGAAGGTCGTTCAAAATCAGTTATTGTGCCAGCAAACGATACCGTGTAAAATTTGATGAGGCAAGGTACACATACGACATGCATTGGTACCACCACAATGTTTAATGTATTGCATAATCACTTATCAGAAAGATACTCAAGTCGATAGGTGCAAGCAAATGCTTAAGAAAAGCAACGGCTGAGCTTTAAAAGACATATGCAAAGTTGTAACACGTTACGATCACGGACCTGGGCACATGAGCCGGAAAGTAAACAGCTGTCAACTCTGTGGGTGTTTCAAGACAAACCATATTCAGCGAAAGTTGAGTTCAAAAACAATGTTTTGGATGTCTTGAATGAAAAGAAATAAATGCTGTAAAAAATGGTTCGCGCTTATACAAAATCGTAGAAACGGTAAAGGAGAACGTTTTGACAAAGAAAAAAATAATTTTTAATGACAATCTACTGTTTTTCATTACTAGGCCAAAACATACGTTGTTCCATTGGTTCGCATAAGTTGAAGGATATAGATTTGTTCATTGGTTTAGAGAGTAATTCTGTTCGATCAAGGACTCTCATTGTCTCAATCTCTTGTGTCATATTTTGCCACACGAATCCTGTACTTCTATAAGAGTGGTATTGAAAGGAAAGATGGCAAACCGGCCTTATTAATGATGGATAATATAATAATAAATTAGGAACTGAAAACTTGAATTTAGTGCAAATTTTTTTTAAGTTTCCACAGTTGATTAGTTATGGTGTTGCCCTACTATTCAGCTACTTTTTGGACCACCTTTATATAATGAGGAAATTTATGACTCCATCTTTGCTATAGAAATTATTTGTTATTTTCCTAGTACCTGTAAAACCTATAAATATTATTTGCAGATATTTGTGTTTGCAGACTATGACAATGAAATGAAATCACACTAAAGCCTTTACAGAAAGCAATTTACAGAAAACTTTTTATTATGTTGAAAATGATTTTATAAGCGATTTTGTTTTTTAAATCGCATAAAGAAAGAAAGAGCAACACATCTACTAATCCATAAACCTTAGTCAGCTGAGACAGGATAGCAGTGAGCATATTTTTAATTAATTCATTAATTGATTTTTACATGCTTAAGTTTCCTTTCTCGTTATGCGTGCAATAATTTATGAGGCTTTTAAAAATTCCAGAAGATTTTCGCTTCCTTTTTGAAGTGTCTGCAACCTTAATAGAAGTGAGAAAGCGGGTCGGTTAAGTAGTAGTACGTCATGAATACGTCATACCATTGATATAAAAAGAAGATGCATAAAAATTTGAGCAAAAGTTAATATGAAGTTATGAAAAGCTCAAACTTTGATAAAAAAAAAAGAAGAAGAAAGCATATATTCTCCTAAACTGTGACAACACGTTAAAAAAAATTTTTGCGCTACAGATACAGTTCGTAAATTATTGGCAATTAACATGGAAAATTTCGATGTTTTTAGAGCCTGTTCGATTTCAGACACTAACTACAAGTTTGTTGGCGAATCACTTCCCTTCTCTTCGGAGAAAAAAAACATATTTCATAATGCATTTTATGCGGTTTTTATCACCCTAAGATAAATTTTTCGTTATCCCGTTGCTTATGCATTAGTATCTTATCATGTACGCTCCTCCTTGAGCTTTTAAGAGGTCATAATTAGCACGAAAGATTGATAAAAACGAAATTCCACAGCGTTTTCATTGAGAAGCTCAACAGTCATACTAAATATTGACGGATGCGTTTTACATTTACTTAAGCGTCTGAAGTAAAATTAAAGCTGAAGCATCTATAGTTAAAGACCATGTAGAGAATAGATTTCTTTTACTTTTTGCAGTTGGAAATATTTTGGACGATCTATACGGCATGTTTTCTCAAGTGTATTCCGAAATGTTTAGGTTGATAAGTAAAGTTGGCATAAAAGAACTTGGAAGTTGACTTAAGAAGTTAGTTGTATTTTAAATATGTAAAGAAACCCGTGTTAAGGATGGAATAGGAATAACTAAAAAAAGAAACCTGCCTAGAAAAAACGATATTTTGTTCCACATGTTAAACTCTTTGCGATTTATAAAAAAAAAATTAAAAAGATCTAAAAACGGAAAAGATGTTTATGGCTAAGCCATTCTATATAGTGCACTCGTTGTGATATACCCTAATGTTTATTTATAGAACAGCTAAAACGATCTGAAAAAATCTCTCATATACGAATGCCTTAAAATACCAACCGATAGTGTCTGGGTAGATTAAGGCAGGTCTGTCTATCTGTCCGTTCAATGTCTGTCCATGTATTTCTATGTTCAAGCTACAATGATTGATGAAATATAGCATGTTGGTATGCTCCGGCCTAAGGACGAGTACTATTGAAAATAGGTTTGGTTTTTCACAACTACTCCTTCTATAATATAACGCCCCGTTTTGAAACTATTCAATGGCATGCTAGGATAATAATGGAACATTAAAAAAACTCTTCGCCGCAGACAAGCAAGGCTTCCTTTTTCGTAACCCTCCCAGGAGAATGAGGGGCATATTTACTTGGCCAAACCGTCTGCAACACGCAGAAGGAAACTAAGCACGCCACATTTTTGATCAGCGTTAAGTTATAAGCCGATTTAAGCATGTGTGTATGTACGTCTGCCTGCGTGATGTCTGTGGTAAGCATTCTCCTGCTCGCCAAGAGGAAGCTATCCGTTTCAAATTTAGCAGAAACATTGGAAGTTCTTGCACGAAGCTTGGTATTGGAATTGACTCAAACCGTGAAAGGATACGCCTATAGGACAACGTAACCTGAGACCAGGTATGTTTTCAAAAACATAATAAAATTGGTTTTTTTGTTCGTTACTTACAAACCACAATAGATACACAAACAAAAAAGTTTGTAGTTTCTTTCCCTGGGTGATCCTGCAGCACCTATAGAAAAATGCAAAAAAAGGCCACATCTACTCTATATTACAGAATATTTAAATTTCATTCTTTTGCCAAACCGTTTGCAGCTTCACTATCAAATGTGAACAGTTCCGGACACTTTCGTTAGCCTGTTCGTCCATCTGTCTATTAATTGGTATGGTAAACGAGGTCATGGCTGCATAAAATGGGGATAATTGCTTCGGACACACGATGGTAAATTTCCACATTTATTCTACAAAAAAAAAAAAAAAAAGCGAAACAGTTATGCTCATACAGCATTGCAGAGTACGCAAATTTAGTTTTCCCCTTTTTTGAAGTAATATTCAGTCGCAGCCGAATATAATTTTTCCCACTTGTTTTTTTTTTCTATAAAATATTTGAACATCTCCTATAAAAATTTAACTACACTTGGGTTATATAAGATTTGAGTAGAATTAATCCACAAAATAATAAACAACGTTTTATTTATCGCTGTATAATCGTAGTTCATATATAAAGACGTCTTCACTTTACTATAAATAAATTATGTGCCATAATTATTTTCGTTTGAGTTTGATCGTATAAAATGTGATGACATGTTTTATAATGCGACAGCATTAAAATTGGCTTGTGGTGTTAAATACGGCGGCATGCACATATTTATACATCCGTCTCTTCGTCTACTCTGTGATTGATAGCGTCAATGTTATGTGGGGGGCATTCAATTAAAGTTGGTTGCCGCTGCTAAAGCTCTCCATTTGGTATACGGCTACTTTAATCACACACACCATCGTACAAATGTTTCAAGACACCACCTTTTTTGGTTAATGAAAGAACACAATCGCAAGGCATTTTAAAAAACACTGGAATTGTTACTAGTTTTTAAACGAACACGACACGACGTACAGCAACGGATAAATTAAGTAAACTGTATTTTTTGTAATTGCTTTTTATTGCAACAATTTACAGAGGCTTTGACATTGTCAAAGAACATAGTCAGTGGTGGCATTCAGAGCTCAGTTGAAATACCTACGTACAGCAATTATTTGTTAATTGCATTTGGTCAACCCATAATTACGCACGGGGCTTGGAACTGATTCAATGAAATCAAAAGAGGCGTAGAGGAAGGTAGGGAGAAAGAGAGAGCCTTAGTCGTTAATTGGTTTTTAACAATATATAACTGAAGCTAATGAGACATTTAAACATAGCCACATATAAATATGCATGATGTGTCAATATATGGTTGTATACATATATGTATACGCAAAATAACTCCATTCTGTAGTTTGGATGGATGTTATAAGTGAGTGCATATCTTGAATGTTGCTTAGTAACGTTCTATGCATGCTTTCAATACATGTATTAAATGTGATTGTAAGCCGGTTTATGGCAAATCATCTTCTTTACTCTTCATGATTTATCAAGTGTCATTAAATTTCCTCTAAACCTATTTATACGTACGTGTAACTAGTTTAATAGTTGCAGTATTTAAAGCATTTGTCATAACTAAAGATGAGGTTAATTTCTGCATATGCGGACATTGAACTTTTTGATAGCCTTTGTAGAAATGGTACTGCGTTCTTCCATAAAATGTTACATTAGCAATATGTGACGAACACACCGATTATCAGACACCCGAGAGAATTCTCCTGTATACGAGGTTATTAAGTGAAATCGATACGAGATTAATAAGTGAAATCAAACTTTTACATGAAAATAAAAATCATTCTATTGACCCGTTACCACAAAACACACAGGGCAAAGTTTACGTATTTACTATCGTCAGGTATTGCAGAATCAATGCCAAAAAGTCTATTTTGCTTTCTAAAATTACCAAATTATCAACGAGCATTCGAATAACTTACTAGTGTGAATAGTGAACAGTTTCTGGTCGCTTACCAATTCTATCCCTTCAATTTTTTTTTTTCTCTATGTATGTTGCATTTATCAATATAAAACTAAGTAGATAGAAGACAGTCCGACAATAAATAGCAGACTGTTATTTTTACAAAATAGACTAAAACTACCTCTGCCTTGTTAGAGTAGAATCCGTCAATTTATGATACGTAGATATAATCCATTAAGTCAAAATGATGAGCGTATTTTTCGTTCTGACGGCATTACAAAATAGGTGAACAAATAAAATGGCGTGCGCTACTTCGTAGCGGATTAAATTTTTTTGTTAGTGTCCTTGATATGGCGAGCAAAAAGGGGCTTGCGAAATAGAAGCCCCTTTAGTTAAATTCTTTTTTATATATCCGCTTGGGTAGCCGAGAAGCCAAAGAATCGCGACTAACACTAACAATGGTCGTAGATTCAAATCTAAAGTGAGGTAGAGCTTTCAATGCTGGCGAGCATATGATCTGACTTACCCGGCAGCCTTTAAATCCATACTTTGTAAGTTTATTTACAAAGTGTATATAATGTAACCAATAAATAAGTGAATAAATAAACAAATAAATATGATGGATACAATGATGTGGTCGATTATCTTTCCCTTTACAATCTCTTTAATATTGGTATCAAATAATAATAATATCGACAATAGAAAGCGAGAACCTAAGTGTATTGTTTTAACCGTACAAAGCTAACTGAGAAAAACCTTGTTATAATTGAAAATAAATATTAACAGAATTACAGTCTGGCAAAACAGATAATGGTCGCAAAATGGTCCGATTCGAACCATTTTCGATTCAGAGAGTGATTGAGTAAGCGATTCTGATTCGATCGGTATAATAAAAGTTGGGTCCGTCTCAAGTGCTGCGGTGTTTTCCATACCACCTTAAACTTAACGTACTTTTGTGAAGTAGAGTATAAAAGTTAAATATTATATATTATATTATATTATATTGTTATTATATTATATTTTTATATCAATGAATTAAAAATTGGAAAATAAATTTTTCCAATGACTTCAGCACTTAGAAAAATTGAATTTTTTATATTATATATATATTGGGAGTTTCAAACTTAATTCTTCTACGCTTTACCTATGCTCAGCCTGGAATATGTTTGTTAAGAAAATTGTTAATTATCTTGCTATTAAGTCTTGAAAATAATCAGTTATCAGCATCATTCGTATTGATCTTAGATTTAAATAAGTAAATTAAAGCCTCTTGTGTACTCACTTTAGTGCTTTATAAATAACGTTTAGATTACCGTTGTAAGCAACATCATAAAAGTAACGGCGTTTCGCTTTTCTTCCATTTCCGCACTACTTACGTAAAAAGAAAAAAATTATATATAGGATAATATCACACAACATATAGGAAAATACCTGCCCACCATTTCATATAACTGAGGAGAACGGTCAAGGCTAAGATGGCTTTTCGAAAAAAATTGAAAATTTTATTGCATTAGCAGCTGCATTCGTTCTTGTTCGACAAGGAAAAGCCACGCGTAAATATTGCATTTAAAGAAAGGAAAGCACATGAAAAACTGTGATTTAAGTAAGCAATGTAAAGAGAGCGCGTAAAAAATCTCTTTAAAAAGTAATACAATTTACGCGGGAGAAAAGCATCTAAGAAGGGACTGAGAGCAAAAACCATGTTTTATGCCAAGCACTGCGCTTAAGTATATCACCAATCTCTAGTCTAGGTAAAAAAAAAGTTTTCGAAAAATATTGTTAAACAACGCGTTGTAGAATTAACTCGTGTTAAAATATCAGTGGTGAAAATGATGTACAGTATGTAAGAACTCTTGAAAAGATCTCAATAAAAAGCAACGGTGAACGGTTATAAAGGCATGGATTAAGACAATTGCTTAAGAGGATTTTCTTATAAACGAATGGCAGTCGGAATTATCCGCTTTCTCCCATAACTTGTTTTCTAGTCCAACTGTTTATGTCTTTCTTAGATATATAGATGATTGGTCAAGAATTGCTTGCAACTAGACTTAGTTGTGCAGCCTAGCTAATCTATATCGTATATTAAGCAGACCAAGCTGAACTAGCCAACTACATGTCTCTACAGCTTAACGTCTACATCAGCAGTGTAACCGTAATCACACGAAGTCCGTTGACACTTTCAAACAAGAAGCATTAATTAGGACCCCTTAGGAAGCATTACAAACCCGACTACTTAGTGAGCCGCACCGCTCTTAAAGTGCTACGAGACAAAAAATTCGTCAATGAGATATTTTATCGACATCTGTCGACGACTGTCGGTCACATATAACAAAACCGTTCAAAGAAGATTTAAAAAAATTGATGTGCGAAAAACGGTATATTCGCCACTCATTGCTTCTTCGGATTACTACTCGTGTCAATCTGTACCGTAAGGTCTAAGCAGTTCTCCTGCTCTTGTAAGGGCAATCACAATGTGTGGTTTCTTGAGAAACCATCACAAAGCAGCGCAGTTTCCAAGTCGGTATGCAACAAGCTACAAAGTAAGGAAAAAAGCTACTGACTATTGCTAAACGAAGTTTCATTTTAGAAAGAAATGAAAAGATTTCAAGAGAAATACCCGCGAATGCCATTATTTTACGTTCTGTAGGAAATATAGAAGTGAAATCCAAAGTTCTAACAAAAGGAGAACCAATTATTGAAATTCTGTTTAAGCAGACGCTGCAAAGCGGATAAAGCATTGTTTCTTGTTTCATTTTATTTTCTCTTAGCAAATCGACTAGAGTGCGTGCTCCGATGTCCACACATATTTGTCCGATGTCGATTTGTGGGTATATAAATTTATATACAAAGGGATTCCAAAGTGAACTGATATTTAAACATTTCTGTAATTAAATGAACGTGTTTAACTATAACCAAGAAATAATTATTCGTTTCATATAATACAATATTTCATATCATACGCGATCTAATAAGTCATTCTGCTATTAGCCATCAAATTGATTGCAATATGGAACACCTTTTATATGATATTAAGTGCTTAGAAGTACTGTGTGAGGCGGACAGAA